TCCATTTGGCAGCACCATCTAATAAATCTTACTGGTTAACAGTGAGAGGAGGAGGAAGAAAATGCTTTTCTGGTGCCTACTGGGAATTGCTGGTACTAAATTAGCTTCCCTGGAATTATTGCTGGCACCACCGTGCTGCTGCCGTTACCCTGTGGAGGATCTCTGTAGCACACTTGCATTTGCATGCTGCCTGTATCCTAAGCAAGCAGGATATGGAATTTTTAATCATACACAGAAACCCATTTTGTATTCTTTTTGCTCGTGCAAAAATAAACTCTTGAAGGGCATCGCGGGAAGGGAGAGTGCCTATCTGCAAAGAGAGGCCTTTCCAGCGGCGGAGGGGAGGGCTGTCTTTGCAAAAACCATCGCGCAGGCTGGAGGGAGGTGGCCAGCTGGGCAAAGTGAGGAGCACCCATCACGGCTCCTGGTCGCTGTCCGCTGCCGTTAGCCACCACCGCGCTCAGGGCCTCCAACCATCCTGCAGCGCGAACACAAGCTGCCAAACCAGGACTGTTTGTCTGACATTCAGGAAATGCAAAATGTTTGCTTGCCCTTGGACATTGCGTGGAAGATTTTCAACACCTACGTGTGAAGTCCCGAAATCTCAAAATACATCAGATGTATGACTGCTCTTTGCATGTTTGGCACTGTCCCTCAAAGGGTTAACTCTAGGTGAATGCAGATTTCTCATGGACGTCCATGAGACCAGATTAAATCTGAAAATGTGTGCTCAAATTTGCTCTTGTTGGGTTGTGAGCTGGACACCTGAACCATTAATTTTTGTTTTTTTTTCATTGAACATAGTCTAACTTGATATTAAAACTATTTTAATGGGCCTTTAATTTTTCACGTATGCTACGCAGGGACTATCATCACATGCACCTCTTTCCCCCATACTCTAAGCGGTCACACCGACTAGGTACTAGCATGGTAAAAACAGTGCAAATAAAAACCAAAAGCCATGCGGCAAGATTTTCCCTGCAAATTTGGTATTGAATGACTCCTGTTGAGGGGAGATCAATAGCATACCGTTAATTTTTCAGTTGTTCATGTTGCTGCTTTTGAACCACGTTTTTTGTGATTCATGCTAATGAGCAGAACCAAGAATTTATAGATTAACGATGAAGGTCAGTAGGGATCTCTGTGCTTAGTTAATCTGAGTTTGTGTATATGCAGGTGGCAGACTTTTCCCCAGACAGCATCTCTCTTAGAAATGTATTTAATCTTATCTTAAAAACACCAAGTGTTCATGAGTTCACCCACTCCCGTGACAGCTGACTGTTTAATTATTCCTGCCGTTAGGAACCGGCCTCGTTTCAAGGCTGAGATGCGTAACTTCGCTTTGTCGCCCCTGTAATCTGCTACGCCGTTGCCTGCAAGCCACAGAACTTTCCTGCCTGGCCCCAGTGATCGAGTCACCTCTCAACCTTTCTTTGATCAACTCCTTAAATTTCATGTCAACGATTTGATTTGCAACCCCAGGTCATTCAAGCAGCTCTCCTTTGAACCTCAGCCAGTACTTCCACATGTGGACGTGTGGATCCGAGACCTGTATTTGCCTTAGCACTGCTCTATGCAGCAACACTCTCTTCCCACTGTGTTTTCATCTCCCTGTTATTGCTCATAAGATACGTCCAATATTGCGTTGACCTTTCATGCACTGCATTGCAAGGCGAGCTTGTGTAGTGCCGTTGTGAATGGCATCCTTCGTGTCCTCGTCCTCAGAAAAGGGAACGGGGCTGCTGTGCAGGTATAATTTGCAACTGCACTTCCTAAACATATGACTTTGCATTTAAAAATACCGGCTTGAGACCATCTAACCAGGACAAGCAGATAACTGGCTAGAATAACTTGTAACTCATAATATTTTTACTCCACCAAGTGCTGTGTCACCTGCAATCCTTACTAGGGCAGATTTGCTATTATTGAGATTGTTGGTAAAAATATTAAAAAGCGCTGAAGAAAGAATCAATGCCTGCTAGTGATGGCCTTGCTCAGTCATATCTTCTCATTAACAGCTACATTTTGAGATCTGTCAGCGAAACAGATTTAATCTCTCTAATGTGTGCTTTGTTAATTCCATATAATACCAGCCAATTGCCTTGGAGAAATCACAATATATTATAGCAACACAGTTGTCTTTAGCAGCCATACATGTCTTACTAAAAAAAACAAAAAACCCCAAAAAACAAAAACTTGCAAAACAAAACAAAAAAAACCCCCCAACTCTCCCCCACCCACCAACCACAACCCCAGAAGACAACAGGTTTGTTTGACAAGATTCGTTTTCCAGGAAACAACACTGATTCTCTTCATTATATGATCAGTATCTAGTTGGGTGTTGATGGAATACCAAATTAACTATTCTGATATTTTTGCAAAGGACCATCATGATGCCTAATGAGACCACTTAGCCTGATGTTGATCCTTTGCAAAATTAATTACCACTGTACTAAAATCCTGCCTTTCACCCTTTCAAAATACAGGAAACACCTTGGCAGTGCCCTGAGCTATCTGAATCCCCCTGAATTGTAAGAGTTATTAAAAATCAGCAACAGTGGATCAAACAGCTTCTCAGCTGGGTCTCTAAAGACTCCTGTTTCTAAGATAGCCAGTTTGCCTGATTTGAGAATTCAATTTCTAATCCTTTTTCACATCTTCCTTTGCTACAAAAGGTGACTGGTTTTGGTCCATGGTTTAATATGGAATCAAAACTCATTGCTTCCTTCCAAACACAGAAGAGAAATATCCATGAAATAGTTCTATATTGCACTTAACTACTTCATCAGCCCCAGCTAGCAATGGATTTATCACTGATTAAGGTTGCAAATTTGAACGTAACAGGTTTTAAATGACCTTTTTTTACTCCTATTGGCTATTAATACTTCACTGGTTCTCTCAGCTTCGTTTAGCAGCAGCCAGTTTTTAACCTATACTTCGTATTCATTACTGTTAACCTCCCCTTTTTCCTGTTTCCATACTTATTGATTTACTTAGTTTTTCCCTCTGCTTACATAGTTCCTTTTGGATGAAATATTTTTCCTTGAACATTTCCCAGCACATTTAAGGATTTTTGAAATTGTGCCTTTTTTTTTTGGAATCCAACTGGGATGCACCAAACTACGTCTTTTTTTGGTTCCTCTTCCACTGTAAATGTAGGTTTCCAGTCCATTGGGTTGATCTTTGTTTTAAACTTTGAAAAAATATTTCCTTTAAAAGTTTGAAGGTTCCCTTTTATTGACTCATGTTGTATCCTATTTAAGCAAAGCAAATTTATTGGGAACATCATCACCAGTGCCTAAGCAACAGCTACTTTTTAGGTCACCAGTTAACTCTCCTTGTTCAGTCCAGGGTCTTCCTCCGGACCAGCTTTGGGGGGGGGGGGGGGGGGGGGGGGCAGGAAGGTTTGCCATCAGCTGTGTGAGATACCTGGCTCATATCCCAGGTTGAAATCAGGCACAGCTACACACGTTCTCTTGTAGTACATTGCAAATAGATGCTTAATTGACAGATATGTGCTATATTGCAAAAGAAAAATATTTAAAGAGCAGTTCATCCTTCTCGCTGGTAAGATTTGGGAACTGTTACAAACGTGCAACAGTCCCTTATTTTTCATTTTGCTAGGTAGGACTACGATTCTGAAATATTCACGACATGACTGTGAATTGCCCGTGACAATTACATCAGCTGCATCAGACCCTTTGTTTCTGTTTTTCAGTCTTTGGAGAAAAATATCATTAACAGCTGCCTGAACGCTGCAATGTTCCCCTCTCTCCAATTTCCCTCTCATTAAAGCAGAGGGACAGTGATGGCTCATAATTAGCACGGGGCGAATATGGGCGCAGGGGCCCTGATGGAGCCAGACCCTCCCGAGCCCTTCACTTAAAAGAAAATTTGCTTCAGCAGCCAAGAGAGGGCGCTCCTTAAGTTAAAAAAGGAAAAAAAAAGCAGAAAATGGGAAAAAGAAAAAAACCAAGCAAAAGATGTCAACAACTAAACATGCTGTCTTAAGAAGGCATTTTCTATTCTCCACCAAAGTGTAAGATTAAATAAAAGAAAGCAAAGCAAGGAGGCGTTTTTCCGGCTGGGGACAGGTGTTAGAGACTTCCTGGGAAGGCTGCAACACCAGGTCTAGTTTCGGCACCCGACCGCCGCTGCTCCGGCATTGACCCTCTGTGGGGGCAACCACCAGACACTGCCATACCAGGAGGAAATCATAAGCCCTTTCGATGCACGTCGGGGCTGCCTAGCCAGCAAGGGAAAAAGGATCCGCTTGCCCCTACTCCGGGGGCTGCAGGCAGCCGTCGCGGGCCAGCGATGACTTTTTGGTGTAAAGCGGATGGGGGTAACTGCTGTCTCTGGGAGCTGGCACTAACCACTGCCTACAACAAGGCAGTCTTTTTACTCTCTGTAACACTAACGTAATCCTGTTTTGAAAGGCTTTTAAGTTCTGCCAGTACCTGCAACGGGTGCCAAGCTGTATTTCTGTTGTCCAGTTTGGGAAGTTTGTTAAACCTGCGCCCAGGATCAGGGAAGCGAGCCCAAAAAGCAATCAAAGACACAGCAGTAATAATTAACGTTAGTGCGTGGTGCTTATTCGGCACTTTTCTTTCAAGGCTCTTTTAACTAGTTAGCAAAAAACAATTCCATATTATGGCAGGCTCTCATGCAGCACGTACTTATCATCCTCCGGTTATGCATGACAAACTGAGGAAAACAGCATTAATGTAATTTGCTGGAAGCAGAAGCCCAATATATGTCCCTCCCTACAGTCCACAGTGCCTGAATATGAAGAGACAAGTGAACCACAGTAGGATCCTGGAAGTGCATTTTGGAAAATGCTGCATCCCTGAACATGTGCAAAAAGCGATGAGGAAGATGCCCATATGGTACATACCTCCCTTCCCCTGCCCCTCTCACTATTAGGTAGTATGATTTTATTTTTCAGCAGAAAAATATTAAGGCACTGGTAATTCAATCATCTGAATGGTTTTTCTCACCTGCAGAACTGCCTGGAGTGGTTCATGTTGGGACCTGCTTTAATATTGCCTTTCTCTGGGTCATAGATGGTGGTTGCTCTTGCATAAGCTCCTCCAAGAATAAAGATGAACCCATTGAGAGTGACTGCAGGAGCATATTTGTTATCTGTCAATGGAAAGCAACATTGAGATCAGGTTTAGGCTCAGGTTTGGAGACTGTTTTTTATTTATACATTCCCCTTATTTATAGATAAGTCACGTTTCTCCACACCTCCAAGGCTAGGGAAGAAAAATGAGGAAATCTTCCTTGTTTCTGTTCTTCCCTCCCAAAGTTCTCAAAGGCACTTCTAAAGTTCATCAGTCCTTCACTTCCCCAGTTCTCCCCCAGCATCTCCCTTTAAACTGGGAAAGTGCAATTATCCCCTCGCAAAGCCTAACAGAGTCATCCTGAAAGCTCTGCTCTCACATACCAAATTAACATGTCAAGTTGTTACAGAATTTTGAATTGCTGCAAATTTTCACGTGGAGCATGAGAACAGGCAAAACGTGCTATGGGTTAAAGCTGGGCTCCTATTATGCTGAGTATCTACAGGCATATGTCAAAAAACATGGATGTATTAGGAAAATGTCATTGATCCTTGGGAACAGATGGGAAGAAACTAATTCATCCAGAAAATAGAACAAGGAGTATTCAGTTTCTTCTTCGGTGCCACTAAGCCACTATAATTCATCAGAAAGCCTTATCTGTCCTAACAAACCGTCTCACATCCCTTTCCAAATCAGACTTGCATATGTGACATTTTTTTCCAGTTAAAGAACACACTAGAAGTTTTCCTTCTTTAATTAAAAAATCTTTCCTGGTTTTTTTCCTTTGACTAACGCTGTTTTACAAGAGAATGAAACTCTCCCATTAAAAAAAGAGCTCAGAATTCAACTCCCAAATCTCACAGGGAAATTATTTGGGGCCCCCTCAAGGCAGAAACAGCAACTTCTCAGGAGACTGATTCACTGACTTCACGTTCCTTTTTGTCAAAGACAGAGAGGGAAACCCCTTGGTTATTTTTACAGTGACTTTTTTTTTTCTTCTTTTCAGATAAGCAGACAGTCTGATTTTCTTTTTCTTTCTTTTTCTTTTCTAAAAGGCAATCATGTTTGAGTCTCATCAATTTTTCAATACATCACCTATCTGTTGTCTTTTGACTGCTTTTGGCTTTAGCTACAATTTCATAAATTGATACAAAGTAAGTCTGAGATAGGGAAACAGGGAAATCTCTGCTGCTTCTTTCAGGAAGGCAGAAGTTCACAGCAAACAGTCTCCTGATCCTGATGAAGATACAGCAGAAAGACACGAGGGAGACCCCTCCAGAGACAGGTAGGGAGAAAACCAGCATATTTTATTTTTGTTTGGTACAGTGGAGGCAGAAATTATTCAA